CACCTCCAGCAGAGGTAGGGGCAACATCCATGACAACCTTGGGTTGGGATGAATGAACAAGAGGGTCCTCAACATAACCCAACAAACTCTGTTCAAAACTGCCTGGTTATGAATCGGTCCTCATAGCCTTAATCTCAGGGCCAGGCTTGTCTGACTAAACCAGGTGTGCAGGGAATTGAGTCATGTGGATGGAAGGTACCAAGCTGATTGGTATTTTGGCCTTGTGGTGGGGCCTAGGGAGCTTGGTTCATTTTGTTCATTTTCTTCAATGCTATTGCCAGTTGGTGGCTGATCATGGAAAGGGTAACAACTTGGTTGGCTGGTGGGGAAGGAGTCACAATAGGAGGCCCTGACTGGTAGGCTACAGGGGGTCCACAGGTGTCCTTCCATGTGATGAAACTGTATTCGGGTCCTGAACTATGGTCGAGCCTGTTGGTGTTACCAGCTGCCTATGCTAGATGCTGTGGTGAAACACCAATGCAGGCTGGCCTGTTGTTGTCTACTTTTCTTGCGAACCATAATATGATTGTTGGTTCGCTGGCTGAGTGTGGTGTAGAAGTGTGGCTGTAGAAAATCAAAAAGGAGCGTTGAAGCCTTCACGTTGGTGATGACCAATTGAAGGCTGCTCGACACACTGGTAACCTTGGATTGCTTCGAAACGCTTCAAATCGTGCTCTCGTGGTGTTGCTAGTTACACTGGATCGACACCTCCTATCATTCAATCAACACGTATCTTCAATACGTATCTTCAATACGTATCTTCCGAGTTAGGAATTCCGAGGAAAATGTGAGGATCGATGTGGATCCAATATGTCGGCTTGCTTTCGGAACAGAGGTTCGGTAACGGTTTTGTGAGTACCGTGTGAATACCGTTTCTGAGTTGCCACACGTATCCTCCGGACGCACGACTGAGAAAATCGATAGAGTTTCCGTACGGATCGACAATGGCGGTCTATTCCACTCTCGGCCGCCGTAACCAAGCCGATTAACAAGAAAATGGCTGGACTATCCTCTCAAGCACCTCAGGTTGGTAGGTGACCGACTTGGTTTGGTCGCTACCACTCGATTTGTTGTGTTTCGGCGCTTCGGGTTGATTTTTGTCGCGATTTTCTTGTTGGTTAATCTTCCACTCTTTCCGATCACCGATCTTGGTATTCAAGCCTATTAACCGGAGCACTGGCTGGTCTATCTTGTAGAGCGTCCTTCGGTTAATCAATGGACCACTGGATATCTCCTCAATCGATCACGATTCCAGTTTTCGGTCGTCGATCTGTCGGCAGGTCCCGACCAGCCAATTCGACAGCTCCTCCTCTCTTCGTCCACGATTTCCACACTGTAGTGTCCACTTCTTGTTCTTTGCGACAAGTAAATCTATGAATTCCAGTTAAGAACTCAGCTGGTAGGTGCACAAGAGCTGGGCTGGAGAGCCCTGTCTGGTGGAGATCTCCTTCCACTAGCGCTGGAAAGGCCAGCCCAAGGCTGGCACCCAATGCTATTCAATCACAGTGGAAGAAATGATTGAAAAGTATAATTGCTCAATACCCTGGCAATGGCCATACAGGATCCTGTTTACTGCAGAGCTTTACTTGTGCTGTTGGGTCTCTTTCTCAGGTCAACTACCTCTTCATTACTTCTTTAAACCATGCATGAACCAAAACTCTGATTTTGCGTGGAACTCCATCCTCCAGCCATCCAGGATACAGATCCATGCCATCTATCTTGGCTGTATTGACCAAGCTATCTTTCTAGATAGTGCATGGCTGAGTAACTGCATCATCCTTCCTTACAGAGGAACTCTAAGTCCTCTACAGCTGTTCCTATCCTGTCTGATGGTGACACAGCTCATTGTACTGAAAGACTGTACAGATGCAACAGCAATCTTCCATCAGACTGAGCCAGCACAGCTGCGCCGCACCCATATGTCTCCTATGTCGGACAATAATCTCATCGATCAAGAATGCACCTTTGCACTTCTTGCTGGTTTTTAATTCTCCTGCAGGGTAGTCCACATCGTTTAGACGCCCCCAAGATCATTCATGCGTAATTTCTTAGCATGAGTTTGAGCAATCAAAGTTCCGGATTGCTCCTGTATCCATAAAGCAATGGAGTGTAACGGTTTTTGTTTCCCTTTCTTCCGTCTGTTAAATCTAACATAGACGAAGGTTTAGTCTCTTGTCTTCACGGTTACGAGTGTTCCACGACAGTAACATGCAAATAGTCATCAGATCTAGTTGACACTTCTAGCAATCAATCAAATTGCCGAGATTCACGGTTTGCAAACAATTCTTGTTTACTAGTAGTGAGATATCTTCATCACTTTGTATGAGAAATCCAGGAACATGTTCCATCTGAGCATCATCCTGCCAACCTCAGATTAAGACAATTCTCCATCCAAGTGATTAAATCGATAGAAAGTGTTCCTCTACAGAGTCTTCTATTGCGTTGGCAACATGTGCGAAGTTTGCAAGTGGTTGCACGGTTATCGATGCAGATCTCGGTGTCTTCGTCATTGTCGCACGAGAGCGAAGATGGTTGTCCCGCAACTGTTTCTCGAATGTTGGGAACCATGCTTTCATTTAGCATCTTCATGGTGAAGGAATATGATTGAAGGTTGCTGAAAGCTATTGATGTTGTTAACAAAATGCACTAACGCTAAAAAGCTAGTGTAAAGATTTTCGAGCTGTTTTGAGTATTGAAGAATGAAAGTTATGAGAGAGATTAGAAACTAGAAAACATAATCAACGAGAGAGATCATCACCAAAAGGGATCGTAGATCTGGCCTCCCGCGGGAGACTATAAAGTGTGATAGAGTAGGTTGCGGTAGTAATCCTACGTATCTCCACGATCCTAAAACGGAACGCGTGGAAGATTTGTCTAGCATGGATCTAGTAGCGTGGAAGTACTCCACGCTGGCTAAATATCTAGAGCGATGTTTCATCATCAACCTAGTATGACTAGAGCGGTCATTGAGAACCCTGTCTCAAATGACTATTTACGAGAGACTCAGTCATGAGTCGAACTCAAACCCTATCTAGGATCGAGTCGCGAATAAGGCTAAGAGCCGTGTATTGCAGAACCGATCAACAAAGAGAGCAAGAAGAGTGCCGACACGGAGAGAACAAGAAGAGACCAAGAGAGCAACGAGCTGCTGCCTACAAGAGGAGTAGCGACATGAAGAACAACAAGTGCAAGACATCAAGAGAGCGCTTTCGGTCATAGTTACCGAAACCAAGAGAGGACGCAACCAAGCTCACAGGAGTGAGCAGATGCGACAAGAAGACGGGCAACGCTACTGTACGAGAACAACAAGAGAAGAGGGTCCGAGCTTGAGAGTCCAAACAAGCAAGCTCGCAGGAGTGGAACAAAACAACCGAAACACCGAAGACGAAAGCACCAAGTCCAAGACCGAACGAGCAACCGGCAGTAAGAGAAGAACAAGCTCACAGGAGTGAGCAACGGAAGCAACAAGCAGTCCTACAAGCAAGCCTAATGTTCCAGGAAGGAGCAAGCAAATAGATCGCCAAGGCAACTAGCTACTAATCAACAGGACGAAGAGCGTCAAGCAGAGAGAGCTCCAACCGAAAAACAAGACCAACACTACTGCCGACAACAGGAAGAGGACGAAGAAGCGAAAACAAGTGCAACAAGAGTAGTGACACGACGAAGTGTTGCCACGGAAGAAGAAACAAGATAACAAGTCCCAACAGGGAACACCACAGAGGTACTTCCGTGGGAGTTCCAGACAGAAGACTCAACAAGAGAGCCACGAAGCAGTGCCAATAGAGAAGAGGTGCAAACCCTTCAGTGGCACGAAGCAAGCCAAATTACCAGGCGGATCAAGGAAGATCCACAAGGTTTCGAAGCCGACTACCATAGTGAAAGGTGTCCTTCGAGTAACAGAGGACAAGGCCCCGAAGAGTGCAAGCCTGTCGGACCAACAGGAATAGCGCTGTATCCAATACCGGAGCAGCCATCAAGATCAAGTTTTGCGAATTCCGACAGCCAACAAGAAGAAGCAACGAGCGACTGAACGACGACAGCTACTGGCTGCTACCACTATGGCGACAACAAGAACAACAAGAACAACGATGGCTACTACTAGCTAGTCGCTCCCGCTACCGTTATGACACCGTCGGCCAACAATGCCGATTACGGCAACACAGGAGTGTCGGCATTGCCGACACCGAGCGCTAGGTCCCGCAACACAAGAGCGTCCAACCAAAGCACATCACCAAGAAGAAAAATGTATCTTTTCGAAAAGATATCTTTGCAGCAGCCAGTTCGGCACACCGGTACCAAGTACTACGTCGGCAACCAGAGGACAGAGGAAGGTCCTACACGGCGAATTCAACCACGCCACCAATGCTAGCTAGCTAGAGCTACTACAGAGCAGGAACCACTGACCCATAATATTTTCTTTTTCGAGAGTGTGTATTGTGGAAACAATCCAGCCACTGCACCTCCTACCTACTTTTTGAGAGTGTGTTTGGTGGCATGTCATACAGCCTCAACACCTCCACCAACCAACCACATCTCCGATCAACAAATACTATCAACAAGCAACAACCATGCCCTTCCAGTTTCCCAACAGCAAGTGCACAGGAGTGTGGAGTTACCCAAAACCCAAAACATCGACACCAAAAGCAACAACGCCATCAACAACGGCAACAATACCAACAGCCAAGTCACCAATGGCAAAGGCATCATCATCAATACCGACAAAACCATCACACCTACAGCATATCCAGGCAATGTCACAACCGCCAACAGCATCAACGGTAACAACAGCATGGCCAACACAGCCATTGCCACCAGCACTAACCATCCTTTGAATTGCATCTACAGTACAGGCAACTGCACCAGCAGCAACTGCATCATCAGCAGAAGAAAAACAGTGAATGTTGATCCACCAAGATCATGAGAAGACAAGGTATCGAGTCTACACAAGACTGGAGCAAGCTCACAGAAGCTACAGACTGACCTAAAGCTGTCACAGAACGATGTTTTGGCTGACGTCGATGAGACAGTGACACAAGAAGACAACACAAATCGAATCAAGCCATACCAAGGCAAGGAGCAGTCACAGAACCAGTGACCAATAGACCAACCAAGTCTGCCATGAAATCATAGGCCGCCTGAAACAATAGGCACAACAAGAGGAACCACCTCAAGAGCTTCCGTTCGTGTTAGGATCCAAGATGCGTACGAGCGCATCAAGGTCGATCTTCCTGTGGGCGTCAACCCTGTGGTGAAAGTGCCTCTCTCTATTTGGACGCACAACACCAAGCTCCACATCGACGAAATTGAGCCGATGGATACGGGAGGTGGCGGTGGCACGGCTGGTGGCACTACGGGAACGACCGGCCAGGCAAGCACTCGTCAAGTTGCCAATGAGTCGCGGCAGGTGACGGCTATGCAAACGCAACAGCAGGTACGAACGAACGAGGAGATTCTGACAAGGATTATTGCGCAGCACAACCAGCAGCAGCTCATGGCGCAAGAAGGTAGGACCCACAACAGTTCGGCTGCTGCTTTGAGAGGTTGGTTGGAGACTTGGCTTGGCACGGAGCTGACGAAACTGAATGGCAACATTTGCAGGTAAGTGTAGACTTGTGGCTGTTGGCTATTGCAACTATGGCTATTACTGCTGCTAACTCTGTATTTTTGTATGCTTTTTAGGATTGCTGTTCAGCCTCCAAGGATGGCAACACCTGATCAGGTAGATGGTAATGCAATACACGGCTCTTAGCCTTATTCGCGACTCGATCCTAGATAGGGTCTGAGTTCGACTCATGACGT